GTTAAAATTGCTTTCACTACCACTGAGATAAACCAGCTTCTGGTCATATCTAGGTGACATCGGAAGACTTTGAAAAACTACATTTACTCCCTGTGATAACGAACCAAGTATGATTCGAACTTCTGTGATTTCTGTAATAAAGTGTATATGTAGAACGATTCCGTAAGAAAAATGAAGACTATAGAATTAAAAAACTCATTATATTGAATATATAAATTGAAAATAAATGTAGAAGTTATTTATATATTTTATTTTAATTACACGGTACGAAATATAACACGAGTGGTATGAACGCTACTTGAGCTCGAACTCTTAAACAAACTTAGGGAATTACAATGCTCCTCTTAAAATACTGGCTCTTCGTAACAGCGTCACCTTCTACAGTTCATATACGTTTATCACTTTATGAATTGACCTTAGTAGGCACTGACGGTCTCTTTTCACTTCCTCCGATCACCAGGAAAAACTTCTGCTTCCATTCTCTGCTAACAACAACGCTACTGTCAACCGGGCATGCTATGTCAACGACTTGTGCTCTTATTTCCGCTTTGACTACAAAGACGATGTCCGACGTGTCTATATTTCTTCCTCAGTTCCTACTGGAAAGTTTCAGAGTATTGCTGTCTCTTTCACCGCTTTTGGCTAATGTTTCTCCCATTGCTTTGCCACTGGTACGTCGGCATCGCTTGCCCAAATGATAGTGGACCATCCTTGCCGACTTGTGATGCTTTTCCTTGTATTTTCGATTCGTGAGCGTTTCGCAGCCGCAAATTCTGTGGGTAACGGATTCATCCTTAACTTGACAAATTCTGCATTTCAGTTCAAGCTGCATGCGCAACATCTTCGTTTTAAAGAGTTTTTGTTCAGTAATTTGAATGGCTTTTAGATGGCCTAGGGTACGTCATTGAGTCCAGTTCTTGATAGCCAGTTAAGAGTAATAAATGGACGTATGTCTTCACCGAATTGGACAAAACACTGCAAATAGAGTCAGTTATTTTCCCAACCACTCCATCAGGAGCTCCCTACATCTTTCTGACAGTTCCTACATTTCCAGGTATTGTCTGTTCTAGTTTGCACATTTCACTAATCTTTACAACCTTAAGCATATTATCACTGCACAGACTGGTATAGCCAGATATTGCCATAGGGATTACGTCTCCAATTTTGGCGTAGTTTTGATACTGCACCGTCCGCTCCTTCTTCTCTACGCGGGACATGTAGCCCGTTCGTATCTGATTTCAAATGCACCATCCCGCTTATGTTCAAGATTTTTTTGTCGTTCTATTCTAGTCTAGCTTATTCGCTTGCAACTTCTTGAGAATGTCACCTATATAAGCAAGCACTGGTACAGCGCACTGTTTAATTGCCACAATCTTGTTTTTTCCGCTCAACTTTCTCTTCAGGATTTGGTAAATTTTATTCTCTTATCACATTCTGTCTTTATCATTGATTTCATTCTTTTCATGTAATATATTGCCAGACTGTGGAACGCAGAGGTATGTGTACAACTGTGGTTCTTCCAACTATTTAGTTGATCAGTCTGTACCCCACTTTCCTCGCTTTCCCTTTTCAATCTAGATTAC